GGGCCGTGTCGACCAGCTCGTCCGACTTCCTCTTAGCTGAATTTATGGTCAAATCATTGAACCCTCCACCATTGATGACCAAGGTGGAGAGGAAGTTTTCCCACCTGTTGTGCATAGACAGAGGTTCTTGCAGATATCCGAGGACGTAGAAGTCCTTGGATCTTGTGACGGAGAACGCGGTTTGGATGGGAACCGACTCGTCAGATGGTCGGGCATCCTCTTCTGCTCCCCTCGTCTCACGGGCATCCCGACGAGGAGCGTCGTTTCGCCGGTATTATGCAAGTCTTCCCCCTTTTATGAGAGTCTCGATGGCGTCCTTGAGGTGGATGCAGTCTTTGGTCAGGTGCCCGTGGCTCCGGTGGTACTGGAAGTATTTGCTTCGGTCCACCTCGGGTTTGGCAGGAGCGGCGCGGGAACGTTTGACGCCTCCTTCCTTGAAATCTGTACTTGTACGCTCCGCTAAGATGCGCTCGCGGGAAGCCGTAAGCGAAGTGTATTCTGTGAACCTCCCCGAGGGTCCACTTTGTTCCTGGGCGTCTTGGGGTTTATCGTCCCTTCTCTTTTCTCCAGTTCGTCGAGGAGGGGCGATGTCTTGTCGCGGATTGCTGCTGGATACGCGGTTTCTGGGGTCTCAGGCTCTATCGGCCGCTTCTCTTTCCTCGTAGTCCATGTAGGCCCTGGCCTTTTCGAGGAGGGCATCAAACGTTCGGGGTGGTTCGGTGCCCATGATTTTTCTGAATTCAGTGCCGGGGAGGGGCCCCATCTCCAGCAGGTATCTCTTCATATGGTCCGTGCAGGGGACCTGGATGGCTTCCCGGTTGAAGTGGTTAATGAATTCTCTCAAGGTCTCATCGTGCTTCTAGACGATGGCCTCGAGCGCTGCTTCGGTATTCGGGTGTCGTCGCGAAGCAGTGAACGAGCTGATGAACTGGTTCTTCAGGTTACGCCAAGAGGTAATTGACCCCAGGGCGAGACCTTTGTACCAGTCCATATCTGCTTTCCTCAGAGTCGTGGGGAACAACTGACATTTGATTGGTCCCCCGATGTTATGGTAGTGCAGCATGGCTTCGAACCCGTCTATATGGTCGACCAGGTCGGCGATACCGTCGTACTCATTTAAGTGGGGAGGCTTCTCCATGCCCGGGGGAATGGGCGCCTCCGTGATAGCTTGTGACAAGGGACCGCGGGGGTCGTCCTCGTCACTCTGTTCCAAAGAACGGGATGGGGATCCGATGTAGTGGCGGTCATGGTGGCCCTGGTCGCGCGGAGCGTTCCTTGGGCGGTGTGACTGTTGATGGTTTCCCCTGTGTCTGTCTCTGGGGGGTCTTCGTTCTTGTCGCGAGGGGCCATAGTCGCGCCTTCCCGCGTCGACGAGCGGTTCCCTCTCCAAAGGGGGTCGTCGCTCGAGTGGTCGGGGTGACGGGCTTCAAGAGATGTCCTGACTCTGTCTCCACGGGGGAGATTGGGGACGTTCGTCCGATTGTCGAGGGAGAGGAGATTGAGGTCTTATGTGTCTTCTAGGGAGCCTTCGGTCATCCTCGAGTGCTCTTAGTCTTTCCCCCTGGGCGAAGATGAGATAGTTGGTTTAGTTGATCGCCGTGAACAGTGCCCTGGTCGTGGCGTCTGCCCCGGCGGGGACGGGGACCTCGTGGAATTGGACGGCTGGGTAGTTCAGAGGAATTGGTCGATCTTCTTCAAATCGAGGAAGGATTGATGAAGAAGAAGTTGTGGCTCCGTCCCGGTAGTTAAAAGTTCTGGGGATGTTGACGCCAAGGACTGTATTATGGCCGGCGGTACCGACGTTGTCGAGGCCGACATTATTGTCGGTGATGTTATTGTTAACGTCGACGACATGGACGTTCTGGTTGTCTTGAGTTTGGTCAGCCATGACAGTCAAGGATTGTTTAGCTTTGGTCTTTTAAATAAAGAGAAGACGGGGAAGCTTAGATTCCCACAGACGGCATCGTCACAACTGGCTTCGGGCTGAGTTTGAAGGAGATGGGAGAGTACCTGCAAGATACTCTGATGACAAAGTGAGAGGTGGAATGAGCAAGCAAGTATGAATTTAGGTGTGAATGAATGAATACCCGACCCTTTCGAAAAAGAGGGTATTTATAGCCCCCAACGCTGGGCCAAGGTCTCTTTATTGGGCTGATCAAACAGGCCCAACAAAGAGACTGTCAGGTTCTACGTGTGTAGTGGGGACCCGCACGTGGCCCCCTACCTGAATGACGTCCTCCGCAAGACAGAGAGGATAAAGGCGATCTTTCCAGGACCATGAAGACTCCGCAAAATCCAGAGAGGTTGAAAGTCAGCCCTACGAGGAGGGTGCTCGGAGGGAGCGCGTGCTCGGAGGGGATGTTCTTCGCAAGCACCGGCGGGAAGCAATCATAGTCGACCAGATACCTATGATCGAGGTGTGCTCGGTGGGTATACTGCTCAGCACAGCAGGTTGACAAGCTTGGATTGGGCCTCACTGGTGGTTGGGCCAAGGGCAGGCCCAGTCCAGAACAAAACCTATGATGATTACTTGTAAACAAAACAAATCCCTTGTCCCACGATTGGCGCCACTGATTGTGAAATTTAAATGTTCAAGCACACTAAGAAATTTGATGTGTGAGAACAAAGAACAATGACAGCCAAAATAAATAGCCTTAAAAATCTCATTATGTAATAAGACAACAACTTAACTTGACAGAATAAGACAAAAGACAAGAAACACAATAACTTATTTTTCCAATTTGATCAAACGATCTACTCTAGAAGAGAAACCAGTTTCCTAATTCACTATACTTTCAAAAATTGTACAAAAGATTACAAATGAGTTACAACATACAAGAAAATACTTATTTTTCCTAAGTATTTCTAAATCTCTCTAATTCTCTATATATGAATCAAACAAGTCCAGAGTGTTTAAAAGTGTTTCTCAACCCCCTTAAATACTTTCAAAAATTTCTCAAATTTCAAAAACACAATCATATAAACTTCTACCCTTATCTATGTAAGTTTCCCATAGGATTATCACCTCCTCTTCTATCTTTCAGAGTACATTCTAAAAGTTTTCAAAAACAAGAATGATGGAGATATTTATTTTTAATTGTTGAAACTCTACAAATCCATAACAATTCCAAAACTCAATCCATTAACAAATGGACCCACAAGACAAAAAAAACAACGAAGACCTGGGCTCCAACAGACCGAACTATCTATCGGACCTAGACCCATTGTCGCGCCACCACCACCGACTCCACCTCCAGATTAATTTCTATTTTGTGCAATCTCAAAACTTATTTCCTTTTTCTTCATCACTTAAGGTTTTAAGATATATTTCTAGAAGTATTTTGTTAGAGAAGCATATAAAGGTTCAAATCGCATGTATTCATAACCTTTCTAACCCTTTATGAAGGTGAGGTATAAAGTGATCCCATTAAAATTTTCTTGTTTAGCATGGAGACCATTTCATAACAGAATAGCTACAAAAGATAATATGCTTAGGAGAGACATTATTGGCCAATGATCTATTCATGAAAAAGATAATGTGGAAATGTAGAGTCAGTGCCTCATCTATTTTTCGAGTATCCAATTTTTTCAAATGTTTGGTATGCTATATGTCGACGGCTTAAGGTTCTCTACGGCACTCCCACAAGGAAAGTTTATTACATCTAGACCAGTTTGAAGGACTGATTGGTGGTGGTGTTAACTATTGAACACAATAAGTATTTGCAGCAACATGCAAAGGATATTTGTTAGTGATAGCAGAATGGACAATGACTTTAAATAGCCTTACAAATAACAGAAAGTGCAAAAGAAAAGCTAACTTCTCCTTATAATTAGGAGTTACTGGATTACAGGGAGTGACTAATTCAAACTAAACAAAAACTTCTACTCTGAACATTCAGGAGTTTTATTAGCAACTAAAAGGACTACCTCAAAGACACGTAACTCTTAACAGGTGGCAGGGCTTTGTCAAAGCGGGTTGGATTGATCTGATAAGTGTGTGTGGTGTATTTGAAAAGTAAGAAACGAAAAACTATTCCAAAGCAAAGATATGTGTTAAAAAATCAGGCAGATGATGTGAAAATGTATGCTTAAATTGGCTGAAAGATTACAACTTAGCACAATGGCGCTTGAGCCCAAGGGAAAGTCTTGGTGTCATTGGTAAAATATTTGTTATAGTTTCTGTTTTTTTTTTTTTTGGTTTTTAGGCAGGTGAGTGTGCATTGTAGTAGATGCTGCCCGGTGGAGATATTCTTGAGGATCAGATTGTTAGTTTAGGTGGACTCGTTGGATTTTAGTCTAGAACTGCTAGAAAATCTGGCTGGGGTGTTGAGTGTATAAGTCTAGTTCCCCTGTCTGTGTCTGGCAATTGGAGTTGGGATGGAGCTACTTGTGCTATAGAAAGGTGTAGTTTGTTTTGGAGAAGATGTAACGTGTTTTGGCTAGGTGGTGAAAAAAATATTAATTTTTAAATGAATTGATCTTAGAATATTCATTTTAACTAAAAATTAATTGAAGATAATTTGTGTTTGATTGCATTTATTGGGTTGAATAATAAATTTCATCATAAAAATTATGTATTACTAAAGCCTACAAATCTATAAATTTCAATATAAAAATGATGTCTAACTCAGCCAAAAAAAGATTATAGTAAAGGAATGATATATCTAAAATAACACTTTAAAAATAATTATTCAAACTAATATTTAATTGAAATTTAAAAAAATATATATTATAATTTTTTAATAAAAATATATAACACTAAAAATCATTTTAAAAAATTGAAACTAACGGATCCAAAATTAGGCCAAACCATGTGGAGGGCAAATAAAAATAATATACCTATGTTATATTTACAGATTCTTAAAACAGTGTCCTTAGAGTGTAAATCAAAAGCCACCTACTGCAGAGTAATGCACCTTTGCCTTTTTGGCATCCTCAGCTGGAAGATTGCATAAGAAAACCACGAGAAAGAATCCCTTGTGATTGGTCTTAAACTATTATCACGTTCTTGATACGGTAGAATTCCACGTTGCACCAATCAAAGTTCCAACTCTCTCCCCTTTAATGGCTTTCTCTATGTTACCTGGTTTGTTTAGATTGAAGACAACAACTGTTCCACAAGGCAAGGACAGGGACAGTTTCATCAGGATTCAGGACAATAGTACCAATCTTTGTTAATTTCAATAAAGTAAAGCTCATAACAATGTTTGTCTGCTTGACTTACCAGGAATATTATTTTCCTGACATAATGTTACCGCAGTAAGGTCCATCACTGACAGATCTTTTGTTATTACATCCTGATAGGTCACTGTGTCGAGAAGACGTGCTTGAGGGTTACGCTTTGGGTCGTCATCAAATACTCCATCAACATTTGTAGCTTTGAGTACAACCTCTGCATTAACTGAATAGATGATAGAATAAAAGTAAGCAAATAGATGCAAGAATGAAAACAATATTTAACTAAGCCATCAACTGTAACAGATAAAATCTCAGCAACAAAACACTAACTTACTTTCTGCACATCTAAGTGATGCGGCAGTGTCTGTGGTAAAGAATGGATTTCCAGTTCCAGCAGCAAAAATGACAACCCTTCCTTTTTCCAAATGCCTGATGGCCCTTCTGCGTATGTATGGTTCTGCCACCTCAGACATGCGAAATGCAGTCTGCACCCTAGTTGGAATGCCAATACTCTCCATTGTTGCTTGAAGAAATATAGCATTCATAACAGTAGCCAACATCCTAGAAGATCAATCAAACACAGTCACTAAAAATCAGGACACTAATTATATCTTATGTCTTATTATATAGTTTTGGGAACACCGGATATTTTGATAAGAACTGTGAATAGAATGCACTAGAAAAAATCTCTGAACGAAGCATGGGTACTTCTAAAATGGTGAAGTACCAGTACCGGTTACGCACCCGTACCGGGTGCACGTACTGTACTCATAGTACTTCATTTTTTTTATCATTATTCAATTTTGAGTGAAATTTGTGATTTTCTCAAATATCAATATAGTATATTGATGTATTTTATTTTTTTATTAGTGTATTTTAACACTATTTTTAATTTTTTATAACTTTTATAGTGATATTTTGTTATGAACCTAACAATTTAATTATCTACTCATATATTTTATAGAGAACTCTTATTTTTTATTAACATATCCGTACCTTGATTTTTTTTTAAATGTCGTATCCCGTACCGGTACCAGTACCCGCACTGGGTACCGTACCCGTACCTATGCATCATAGGATAAAATTAAGACAGAATCTGCATATATGCAAAAAGTTTTGACAGAAAATCAAAGGTATTCTTTAAGAGAGATGAAGGGAATCACCCAATATAATCAGCAGATGAGCGGTCAAGACCACTACTTCCAGCCCAGGAGGCACCGCGGAAGATGTTACCTCCACCAACTACTAGTGCGACCTGAAACATCGGCCTAATAATTTCAAACCAAGTTCTGATAACCAGTAAAAAGCATTGAATAATTTCAAGTCAAATGGTCTATAACATGTTATGGCAATAAAATTCCTTCAATAATAATGCTGATTACAAAATTAAGAAATTGGTACATGCAGAACTTCCCCTAAAAACTACTCCCTCCGTTTCAAAATGACTGTCGTTTAAGGTTTTTGCACACAAATTAAAGAATGCAATGATGTTGTCATAAGACATTACACTTTTATAAAATTAACTCTATTAATATATTAGAAGTAGTGTAAAGGGTAAAAAATAAATGGCACAATTGAAAAAATAGTAATCATTACTACATGAAAAGTGAAAGTGAGAATCATTTTGAAACAAAATTTATTTGCTAAAACGACAGTTGTTTTGAAACGGAGGGAGTATATTGCAAAAGCACACCAACAATAACAATTCTCCAAAACTACTACAAATCATGCATTCAATTAACCAACTGATCTCAAACAATTTGAAAGTGCAGCCGGAAAACTAAAAAAAAAAAAAAATGAAAGGAATTAGAAGTAAAAAAATACACTATAGTATATTAGTCACCTCAATCCCAAGGCGGGTTACAGCTGCCACTTCCCTTGCAATAGCCATAGTTATCTGCATCCAACACCCACAAAAAAACAAAGTCTCGGAAACTGAGAACAGCATCATATAGCAACAAATTTTGTTTCATGTAAAATTTCTAATAAGCAATCAACAATTTAAACAAATACTACTATCAAATATATAAAGTTAACTGTCCAGTCATAAATACTAAATATATTTTGTTATCAATAAGTGCAAGAGAAAACAGGACATCCACGTAAGTGTAAAATTGTTTTACAATGACAACCAATTACAACCAGTGTTATCGAATTGCGCTGCGATGGCCATTATGACGGATATACGTGGCAGTTTTTGGGCTCACCGCAATGTTAAATATCGGTCATTATTGCGGGTTTTTCGCCATACACTATAACGGCGCCACAAAGTGACATGAATGGCGGGATTTAGGCTCTCCCCATGGACCGCCATTTGCCATCGAGAACACTGATTACAACTCGAGTATTTGACTGACATGATATTTAATTTCCTTTGAGCAGATTGAATACACAACACAAAAGTGCAATAAAAATAAAACTAAATAATGGGTTGCAGACCTTAGGGTCAATATTCTGAGCCTGATCTCCTGCAAGCGCTTCTCCACTAACTTTGAGCAAAACCCTTCGCCACCTGGGCTTGTTAGATTCACCCATTGACAGTGCAAAGGGAATTTCAGAGTTCCTAGCAGCAAGCAATAAACACAACTGATTACAAATATTTTTCAACACACCACGCGTTTCATTTTCATACAAACATTTCTACAAACACCTAGTCGTCGTGACCAAAATTCATGGTTACAAAGATATTTATAAAGAGAAACCTGGAATTGAAGGCATCAGGGGAAGAGCCGTTTCCGGAATAAGAAGAGCGAATAGCGAGGTTGGTGTGGGGAGATGGGTTACTAGCGAGTGTCGAAGTGCGAGAAAGGGAATGAAGCTTTGAAGGGTAAAGAGATGAAATTGAAGATAAGGAGAATAGAGGAGTGGAAACTGCCATTGTGATGGTGCCGCTAAACCCTTTTTTTTTTCTTCGCTTCCTACGCTATCAATACTAGTTGTAGTAGTTGCCGCTAAAGATAATTTGTATTTTCTTGATTTTTATATTTCCAATTTCCAAATATCTAATAAACGCACTAAAATAATCTTGTCAAAAAAAAAAAAAAAACGCACTAAAATATGTTTTTCTTTCTTTCATTTACCATAATAAAAAAGTTTAGACAGATTTTATTTTGCCAGCTCAACAAAATCAAAGAAAATACCAATTACTTAAACTCTTCTAAATCCCTCGCATCTTGTAATGGGATTGAACGCAAGATTGAACTTATGCACTTTCAGATGACATGGTAGCAATTCGAAAAATGAATTTTCTAGAGAGAACGTCCGTCCTCTATCTAAATCTTATTAGTGTATAAGATGATGATGATAGAAAAAATGAGAGAATATATATTTATTATTTTGAAATGACGGTTATAAAAGTGTAAAAGATTGATTTTTAAAAGACAGCTACGGTTATTCTATTTATACACAGAAAACAAGGGTCACATATGAAACATACTAAAATACTAAATTACTCTTCAATATCATCCCTTAATTTATAATTTCTTAATTAAAACTAACAACAACAATTTCATATCTTAAGTGGACAAATTGATCTGTCTTAATCGTCTTTGTCAGAATATCCGCCAACTGCTTCTAGGTGCTACAGTACATAATTTCTAGTATTCCGTTATAGACTTGACTTCTCAGAAAGTGATACTTTGTCTCAATATGTTTGTTTCTCCCATATAGTACTGGGTTCTTAGCGAGATTGATTGCAGACTTGTTATCAATCATCAGCTTCATAGGCTTTTCTACCTTGATCTTTAGATCCTGCAATAGATTCAGAAGTCAGACAACTTGACATGCAACTACACCATCTGCAATATACTCAGTTTCACACGTTGATAGTGCAACAACAAGTTGCTTCTTGGAACACCAAGAAATAGGACCTCCCAGAAACTTAAACAAGTATCCAGAAGTACTTCTTCTATCAACTCTATCTCCACACTATTGTAACAGAATTTTAAATCGAGTCGTCACTACTATTTTTTATGCTAAGGAAGGGAATCTAACAAAAAATCCTAATTTCGCAGACACAGATTCTAGGTTTCGGAAATCTTTAGGCGAAGGGAAGGTGTTAGGCACCCCTCATCTACCTTGTTCCCAAGAATACCAGGGTTTATGTTTTAAAGGTTTAGGGTAAGGGTTTTAATTTTTTAATAGGGGAACTCATCACGATTTTAGTCGTATGCCTATGTATCCTCTTATGAGGAATCATTGTCTTAATTCGTAGTTCGTATGGGTTTGTGTTTTTTATGGATTACGAAAGTATTTTAATTCTCCTTGTTCTTAGTCCAAGTGTGTGAATAACAGAGATTTTGGACGAAGCGCGCAGTTAATTAAAATATATTTGTAATTCTTTTCGAAAATTAATTATTGAGTTAATTTAATTATGAAAAATAATTTGGTGTTGGTTAAATATTTTTTATGTATTAATTATAAAAAAATATCTTATTAAAATCAAGATTAAAAATAATTTAATGTAATAAAATAAATAATATTTTGGATGAATTTAGAAAATAATATTTAATTTAATAATAATAGTAATAATATAACAAATAGTTATATAATATATTAAAATAAGAAATATAAAAATTATAAGATAAAAATAATAAAGAAAATAAATAAAATGTATGGGGTTGTAAATAATGTTTAGCTAGTAAAATGGGGGGTGTTAACAGTAGGACCCTGATTTCAGATATTGAATTCAGGCCCAAAAGACAGGTTTGAATTGTATAATAAAATGGAGGGTGCAGGGAGCCAAGGCCCAAGTCCAGATTTTGGACTTGGCCCAATAAGGTTGGGGGGTGAAATTTGTGCACGGTTAGTAAACAAAAACATAGGGTGTGTTTAGATATGGGCTAGGCCCAGGGTTGTTTGGGATGGACTCGTTTGGCCACGGTGGGGGGGGGGGGGGTATACGGTAACGTCATAGGCGCACGCATTTCTCAATATTGGATAAGGATCACACAATGATGATTGAAGGTGTGTGATAGTGATTGTGGGCTGACGATCATCAGATCACATGAACTTAATATATTTTCATTTTTATAATATAATTTTATTTCATTATTTCTGTTATCTTCTCTTTCTGTCTTTCTACTTCACTCGTTCTCTCTTTCCAAACAAAAAACCCTTTGGTACAACAATAACCCAAACTTTAACCCAATTGTAGAACCACGACAACCAATACAGTGATTAAAACGAAATGAAAGCTTAAGTTGAGTGTTTTACTGTCCGTGCCGTGACTGTTCTTTGAGCTTTACGTCTGCTTCCGATCTGAGCTTTTGCTAATCTCTCCTCTTTTGTTTTTTGACAGGTACAGCGGATGAGGATTTGGAGCGGCGGCGACGGTCAAAGAAGTCTAGGATTTCAGATGTTGAAACCCTAAATCTAGGCAAGCGGCTCGGCGTCAGTTTTCTTCCTCTTCTACACCTTCTCCAACAAGAACTTTTTTCCTTTTCTATTGTAAATTCTTCCCTTGTTTTTTTTCTTCCCCTCTTAGAAATTTTTAGGGGTTTATATAGTTTTTAGGGTTAGATTATTTTAGGAAATTTTATAAATTTGTCGTTACTCCTTTAGGTTGATTTAGGAAATTAGGGATTTGAATAATTAAGAAATGCTGATACAATTTGATTCAGCTTATGATTTGTATTGATTCGTTTCTGTTTTAGTTAAGATTCAATTTAGTTTTTGTATTTGATTTTGTTCTGTTTTGGACTGTAAAGATATATGATTCGATTTTGTATTGATTATGATTGTGTAAAGTTTTGATGATTTGATAAATATTTGAACAATAATTGTTATTGAAACGTGCGTTATTATTTGCTTCAATCTATATAGTAACCGTTTTTTGTTAAAGCATGCGTTTTTTCTGATTTGGACATGGGCCTGTAATGGATCATCTGACGGCCTTTTTAACCAAACATTTTTTCTCTCAATTTTAATAAAACAATTATTTAATCATAATATAATAATTCTAATAATATTATGTAACGTTTAATGAATTAGCAGAAACAAAAAATGTAATTTTTAACAAACATAAATTGAAATGGGCCAAGTGGTTTTAATCATTGGGCCTTAGCAAGAACGAATTACTTTGGGCCTTCATGACTTACTACATACCCCCCCCCCCCCCTTCCATAACTTATTTCTAAATGGACCAAAACTTTATATGGACTAAGAGGCTAAAATAATCTTTCTGATTTTTAGAAATCCCACCAACTTTTAATTAAACACAAACCCTATATAACAATGCACCTCCCTTTTTAACTTGAAATGGACTAAAAATTCTACATGGGCCCTTTATGATTTAGAAAGGCCCAAGATTTTTTCAAAAAATAGTATAACTCCTTTCAACATTCAAAAATGGACTGAAACCAGAACAAGAACTTACCCAAAAATGAAATTGGATCTAAAAACTCACATGGACTTTTCTGATTTAGAAAGACCCATTAATTTCTTTATAAGATAAACCCCTATTTATAAACTTTAAACCCCCATAACTATATGAATAATTTTGATCAAAATAAAAGTAATATAATGTAATTATTTGATGGGTTAAATTTGGGGTATGACACACACCAATCAGAATCAAAATAACTCGCCAACTCTGAATCCGTCTTACTTCCAGAAGGAAATAATACTCCATACTTCAGAGTTCCCTTGATATACCTCAGAATCCTGATAGCAGCTTAGTAATGGGACCACTTAGGTTTACTCATGAACCTACTAACCATTCCAACTGCATAGCAAATATCAAGTTTGGTATTACACAAATACCTTAGAGAACCAACCAATTATTTGAAGGTTGTAGCATCTACATCCTCACCCTCAGAATCAGAATCCAATTTATGATTGGTTTCTGAACGTCTGACAGTAGCCTTACAATTCTGTAGCTTAAATATTTTCAGAAGCTCAAGTTCATACTTCAGCTGATGCAAAATTATACCCTTCTTATAGTACAATATCTTCATCCCTAGAAATTATACCAGCTTTCCTAGGTCAGTCATTTCAAATTCATTCATCAGAATCTTCTTCAACTTGACTACTTCTTCAGAACAACTACCTCTCAGAAATATGTCATCAACATAGAGACACACCAGAATCATATTGCCTCCAGAATATTGCACATAAACACCATATTCCATCTCACATTTTTGAAACCCATGCTTCTTGAAAAATGAATCAATCTTCAAATTCCAAGCTCTGGGAGGTTGCTTCAATCCATACAGAGCTTGATGTAACTTGTACACCATCCCTTCTTGATTCTTTTTCATAAATCCAGGAGGTTGTGACACATATACCTCTTCTTATAACGGACTGTTCAGAAAAGCAGACTTTACATCCAGATGCATCAGAAGCCAATTTCTGTTTGCAGTTATAACAATCATCAATCTCTTTATATTATGTCTATCTACAGGCGAAAACACCTCAAAGTAATCTAGTCCAGGTTTCTGAAGAAGATCCATAGCCACTAGCCTTGCTTTGTGCTTGCCAATTAATCTATCTGGCTTAAATTTTACCTTGAAAACCCATCTGACGCTGATGACTTTCTTCTCGTTTGGAAGCTTAGTCAACTCCTAAGTCTTGTTTCTTTCTATATCCTCAAGTTCTTATTTCATGGTGTAATATGGTGGGAGAACTGACTTGGGTGTTTTACATTTTATCGCAATTGTTGCGAATAGCAAGAGTCACCACTGACTTTTCTTTTATCCAATAAAGGAAGGGGTGAAAATAACAGGAAAGACCTTTGAGTATTTTTCTTGAGTTCGGGGGGTAGGTTATGAAAAGGGAAGGTGTTAGCACCCTTTTCATCTGTAGTTATCTACGGACTCTTAGTTGCTTGCTAGATCATTTTTTGAAATTTCTTTGTTTTAAATGTGTTGTGGTGGGTTT